GGAGTTAAATCAAGAGAATGTGTCTATATATGGACATTTTGTTTTGGTAAATATCACACAACACAATATTGGGAAAATTGCAGCAGAGTTCCCTAGCCAGTTATTAAATTGCAGCAGGGACATTGTGTAATGGTGGTTCTTTTGAAATCTGAAGGTTTGGTAGGTAGAAAATGTTGGAATATTCTGAGTGCAAAAAAATGGTGTCTGTAGAGAATTCTTTGAACATAAAATTTGGTATGCCATTGGAGGACTCCTTGCCTTAATCATTGGTTCCTAAAGGTGGAGTTTTTGAAGCTTCGGGCGGAAATCTTTGGTCTGCGTCAGATCTTTCCATTTATGTTCAAAACTTGCAGCAGTGGAAGGGGTTGGGAGGGAGGTGTTGGCCCTTGATCGCAACGATTTTGCGACTCCCGCGAGGGGCGTGGGGGGGCGGGGAGAGTTGAGTTGGATGGGGGAGGGTGTTTGCAGAAGATAACCTCTTTCCCTGTTCTAGTTTCTTTCCCTCAAATTTCATTCATAATTAATTTTTAAAATTTTGTTTCATAGAAATAATGTATTAATTCATTTACTCTTAAAAATTTAGATGTGATTGCAAGTCACTTTAAAGGTAGAGTAGACAGATTCCATCCATAAGGAATCCTGCTGCCACAATAATAAAAGGTTGAAAATGGCCCTGCCACTTGTTTGGGGATCCGTCAGCACTTCTGCAATTTCCCCAGGATTTTCAAAGGAAAATAATAACAGAGGCGAACCATTTGTTGAGTAAAACTCTACTAAGGCATTAAAATTGGGGTACTTTTAATTTTGACCCGGTCAAAGGAGCAAAATTTCAGTTTGACTTCCAAAATAATGAATATTATGACATTGACCTCTTGTATGGTAAAAGACAAAGATACCCTTAAATGTTTTGTACAATTACAAAACCATATATTGTTGAAAGGACTATACTACCCTTTTACTTAATAATTGAAAACCAAACATTTCCCCACTTATAAAAACTTCAAAACGAGCTTCCAACACAGAAAAAACTCTCATCTTTTCATCTGCTTGAACCTCAAAATCTAGAAGAACTTTGGAACGTTGAAGCTGAAAATTTTTTTCACATCAATTACTTCAAATCGGTAAGTACATTTAATCATGTTTAATTTCGTTTTAAGTAAATTAGTATACGTTAAATAGAGAGATTTTATGTCGACATAGATTTTTTTTAACAGAACCTATCAAAAAAAAAATTAAACGGATGTATAACTTACGTTTAAATTACGCGTGCTTAATTTCGTTTTTAGAACGGTATTCTCCTACGCCAAACTGGTATAACTTAACAAACAGTCGGAAATAGTCTGAAACAGCCGGCTGTTGGATGTTTAACAGCCGGGAAACAGTCGGCTGTTAAATATCCAACAGCCGGCTGTTTAAACAGCCGGCTGTTCGGCTATTAAACAGCCTTCGCTGCAGCTGATTTTTTGCCTTTTTATTTCTTATAATTAATATTTGAAATTGATTAAAACCATTTCCTCATGCAGATATGATAATCCCCGTGTGTTATTTCGGTGATTTCGAATTAAATGAAAATAATCGGTGGGAATGGAGATGGACGAGTGACATACGTGGTTGTATTGCAATTCCCGTAACAGAGAGTACACCATATTTAGAAATGTACCACGATTTGCAAAATAAGCTGAATGTCGATCAATCTCAATACGATATGCAATTGAGATATCTATTCAACGGTTATGGGGATTCATCCATTCCGATGCCACCGGCATTCGTTACTAATGATGCTAAATTGAATTATCTATTAGAATTGAATAAAATGCATCGGACTCCGACTGTTCTTGGTGTGACTTTAATTACGAAGGATGTTATCGAAGGTGAACGTGAAGATTCGGATAGGGCGGATAACAATGATCGAAGTTTTTGGGAGACAGTGGAGATAGTTCCTGCGGATGATGTGGGTATTCCTGAGACAGTTGCTTCTGATTGTGACGTCGCTGTTACGCGCAGAATTCCGTCAACAGTTGAAGACAATGAGAACATAAACGACTTTACAAATGAGAATTTGATTGCTTTATCCCGACAGAGACACGAGCCTGGTGGGAGCTCACAGGTTGGAACAAGTGGATGAGCCTGGTGGGAGCTCACGGGTTGGAACAAGTGGACCGTCCTCGAATTCTTCCCGTGTGGCTCCCGACGATGAGGACTTGCAGGTCGGGCAACTGTTTGAAACCAAGAAAGATTTGCAGGAAGCTGTGCACCGGCTGGCATTAAAATATAACTTTGAGTTCAAGGTAAAGAAATCAAACAAGTCATTGTTGACAGTTGCTTGCGTCGAAGACAGTTGCAATTGGCGCTTGAGAGCAACTAAGATGGACACGAATGAGTGCTTCGTAATTCGCAAGTATTTA